TGTATTGAAGGTAACACAACACCTGTAGACCGGTCATCAGAGTGGGTAGTGGACAGTGCAGCTTCGGTGCATGTAGCTTCAGACAGGAGTTGGTTTCACGTCCTTTACTGCAGGAAATCATGGTGTGGTGAAGATGGGAAATGGGAGACTCTCCAAGATCAGAGGAATTGGGGATGTTCGTTTGAGGACTGGCAATGAGACCGAGTTAATATTGCATGATGTGAGGTATGTACCCAGTTTCAGGATGAATTTGATATCAGCGGGAAAGCTGGATGATGAAGGCTACAGAAGTGAGTTTGCAGAGAATAGATGGAAACTCATGGGGGGGTCCGAGATAGTGGTTGTTGGCCACAAAAAAGCTTCAGTGTATGTGTTGAGGTTTGGTGTTGCCAGAGAATCATAGAGACAGATTATACACAGGGCTGCAGATAGTTCAGGGGGAGACTTGAAAGAACTAGCAGCATTGACAGTCGGAATAGATCAGGAGAATCTGCCATCAGTTCAAGTACAACAGCTGGGAAGTAGAGGAAAGCGAAATGGGAACATCTCAGTGAGGTGTTCAACAGACTGTCAGTTTCGAGCCCCAGGTGTCAGATGGATTAGCGAGCTGATGAAGTCGCATAGGCGAAAGGGTGCATTCAGAAAGACTACAGTTGGTGCTGAGGTCAAGGGTGAAGTCTCTAGGGTGGCAACAGACTTGGGTTGGAGTGCCAAGTCATCAGTGAAAAAGCTTTCCTTCAAGAGTCGTTGGGTGCGAGTGAAGAAGGAAGCGTCGGAGACCACTTAGTTCGAGTGGGAGCACGTGGCTGTGTCTCTATCGTCTGGGAGACAAGACTACGTAGGATTGCTCAGTCTCAGAGCAATCACAGATGGAGCCTTGGTTGGTACCAAGAAGATTTTAGAAACTGTTGGTGCAGTGGGAGTTGAGCCTTGGTTGGTGCCAAGAAGACGTTGATCAGTTAGAAGTTGTTGGTGCAGTCAGAATTGAGTCATGAGGGATATTGTTGTTGCGTTGGGAGACGAAATTGCTATTTTGTCTCCAAGTAGGAGATTGTTGGGATATAATGGAGACAAAATAATTATTAAAACTTATTGGGCCAAAATCACACCTAAAGCCCATAGTTTGTCTTTGTTTTCATTAGGTTTAATGACCTAATATTAAAACACATGACGTTGGTTTTATGCTACTTCAGCCGTGAGTGATAGAAACCAAAAAAATAAGAAGGTGGCGGTAGTGGTGTGTTGTTGGCAGAGAAGAGAAAGGAGAACAAGGGTTTTGTAGTGCGTTGTCGGCAACCCGTTTTCCCAAGATTAGTGAGG